TGTGCTTTTTTTTTAAAAACAAAAACATTGTCTGCCATATATGCCTAAGGTAGTCACAAGTACATACATAGAATTACCTAGACTCATACAGGAATGGCAACCCTGCCGTCTGCCTTCCCTATCAGAGGTATGCCTGTACTATCCCCTACGGTCTTATTCTGGGTCCTGACATCTGTCTTAGAGTTTCTGTTGCTCTAAGGAGACACCATGACAACAGGAACTCTTATAAAGGAAAACATTTAATTGGGGTGGCTTACAGTTTCAGAGGTTGAGATCATTATCACCGTGGGGAGGCATGGTGGCGTGGAGGCAGACATGGAAAGCAACAGGAAGTAAACTGAGACACTGTGTACTTGAGCATAGAAGACCTCAAAGCCCACCCCCACAGTAACGCATTCCCTCCAACAAAGTCATGCTTCCTAATAGTGGCACTCACGATAAGCTTACGAGGGCCAATTACATCCAAACTATCACAACATCCTTGGATTTCTCATAGGTACCTGAAAGTAGGAACATGTCTGTCAGAAGCTGCATATTCTCTAGAGACAGGATGCCTCATGGCTGGCTGCGAGCTGGGCCTTTTGTTGGCAGAGCTTCCCTTGCCAGTGCCCAGAGTATTTGTCTTCTGAGAAATATAACTTCCCAGATGAGTGCTATCAACTCCCATCATAGAGAAGAAGAAAAACCATGGTCTGTCGCTATGAGAATGCAGCCATGAAGACTTGGGATTTCAGAGTCAAGGGATGGGTGTTTGAGAACAGTATGTGTGCAGAACCCTTTCTTTCTGTCTTTAAAAGATCAGAAAGATAGAGTGCACAAATGGTCTGGAGAGCTGGCAACACTGGAGGTTGAACAGCGAGCTCTTGATGGGAGGAATGGGAAAGATACGGAGAGGTAGCCCAATGCCGTGTCAGTGCCCACCCAGCACCCTCAGTGTCGGCTGAGTCAGTTCGTGCTGGCAGTGGAATGTTGGCTGAAGCACAGTAACAAACTCTGATCATGGGGCACCTAGATTTTGCCAGACCTAAGTACCACGTGCAAAATTGGCTCTGTAAGCCAGTGTCTGCGTACTACACATTTATTTGTTGTATTTTTGTTATTACAATGGCCAGTTTGTTCACATGGCTCAGAAACCTGAAATCACAAAGGATCATCACAAATGCACCCTTTCCACCTGGGTCCCTCTCCATTCGCTCTTGCTCCCTGAGGACACTCACCACTGTTAGTGTCTTACGTACAAGCCAACCCAGTTAGGTTACAGACTTCACTTCTGCACATACCTTTTCTTCCTTTGAACATGTACATCCCTGAGCTCTTTGCCTATGGCTGTATTAAACGTTTCTTTCCTTCTTAGACGCAAGAACTACTAACTTGAGTGGTTGGACCATCTGTACCGATCTGTAGGTTGTTTCCAACTCTTAGCTATTACAAATGTTTGATTGGATAGCCTGTACACAGAATGTTCATATCTTTAAGTGACCTGAGCTCCTGTATATGGAACCTGAGTCCGAGGGCCCATGATTTGCCGCCTGGAAAGACATCATCTGACTGCCCTGGATGGAGGCTAGGGCTGTCCACACTCCTACTGTCATGTGGGCAGGAACCTTTCTCCATCCTCCTCGGCTCTGCATGCATTAGTGTCTCCACCAGGCTCTGCAATGCACTTCCATGTTAGCCAGGGAGCTAAATTCTCAGAGAATGTGTTTTCTAAATGTCTTCCCACCTCAGACTGGGACCTAGCCTCCTGGTTCAGTCCAGCACTCCTGACAGGGTGACTCGGTGTCTGTGCTCCTGTAGTGTCTCATTTGTAAATGGGGCATGTAGTGTTCTAGCAGGAGTCTCTTGGATTCTTGTGAGTGGGAGAGTGAAGCATTGTGGGAACATAGAGAGGCCCTCAGTAAATATCACTTCTTACTAGGGAAGGCTCAAGCTGTGTAAGCAGCAGCAGAAATACTGTCCAAAGAACCAAGAGCCTGGGAAGGGAAAGTAGATGCACTAGCTGATAAGCCGGGATGGGAGCACTTATGGATCGCAGGAGAGGACACAAGAGAGGACTGGACCAGAGCTACTGGGTGCTGCCTGACACTGTACTCTTTTAAATGGGAGAGTTGGTGTTTCTGTCCGACATCCCCCGTTTAAAAACCAAAACACCCTTTCACTGTATTTGACAGCTGTTAGGCCTGGCACATGGTGTCTGGCATCTTACTCTCTGCGCATATGCAGCCTTGTCACAGCCCCCTCCTTGTCCCCGTCCTCCCCTGCCCCACCCCCGGTATCTCTGGTCTCTTTTTGTCTTCGTGCCACCAACATAAACCCCAGCATTTGCCAATCCAAGGGAACCTCTGACTAAAAGGCCACAATGTCTGTAGCCAGGCAGGGACTGCTTTAAGAGGCCCAACCAGGAAGCCTTCCTTGGTACTGAACACCCCTCCCTCAGAGAAGAGCAAGTACTTCTCTGTCTCCTCCCCACCATGCCCTGCCCTTGTTCACTTGCAGAATGGCTGTGTGTGACCCTGTCAGAGGCAGAGAACGGATCTCTGGTGTTCTGGAATGTCCTGCCCTAGGTACTTCTTGGCCTTCCATAACCTGAGCAGACCTAAGGCAGGCATCAATGACAAGGTGCAAATCTTTTCCCTGACAGCTGCTGTCCTGGCCTCGAGTGCTGATAACACTGTCCCAGGGAGGGTTCTTTCCTGGGATTGCCTACCACTTTCTGGGGCAGGACTGTGTCACGGAGGCCCTAGATTGGGGCTTTAGGCTGTGTACCTATCAGGTCTTCCCAGGGTTCAGCTTTTTATGTTTGTAGGTGTTGTGAGCTAGGGCCTCAAGTGCGTCTCAGAATGGTTTTGAACTAGTCCAGGACGACCTTGAAGTCACGCCCCTCCTGCCTCCTCCTGCTGGTGCTGACGTCACAGGCATTTACCACCACACCCTCTATGTAAGGGTTCCCCTTTGTTATTGAGACAAGACCCAAAGCAGCGCTGAATAAGAACATCAGGACCTGAGTCCTCGGCTGTTTGGTAGCTCTGTGGTCAGCATACTCTTGGCAAGAGCAAACCTGTTGCCTCCTCCTCACACACAGAGCCACGTGGGGCTGGGTCTCTTCTACTTCTCTGCCTTCTCAGGCCTGGGAGGCTGGACAGCATGCCAGTGCTTGCCGGATAAGCCGATTCCCAGACAGAGTAAGCTGTTAACCTTTGCCAGTGGGTGGTGGAGCCCAGCCCTTGTCACCTGTCACTGATAAGTGAATTTAAAACTCTTGCTGAAAGGAGAGAAATATGGAACAGATGTAGAGGGCCTCCAGCTGCTACCAAGCAAATGTGACTGTCTTCAAGCCACCATCTGACCCAGCCCTAGGAGGATTGATCATCAGTCTCAGTGCCAGGGGACTGGGAGGGGAAGCGGGGTGAGAGAAGGCAATTTTGGCTTCTGGGGTAGGTGGGATGGAGGGGCATTTTCAAAACGCAGGTTTCACATCAGCAAGGGAGGGGCTGACATGCCTGGACCCTCTTTCAAACCACTCTTCCCTGCCATACTGGTTTGAACAATTTACCTGCCTTGGTATCCACTTACTTTAAGTCATGGTTTCTGTGGGTGTCTGGGTAGGGTTTTGAGCCCAGGCCTCACTGGGATGTGATCAAGTTCTGGGCCAGAGTTCTGTGTCTCATCAGAGGCTAGCTGGGGTAAATAGATTTCTACGTCCAAACCAGCAAGGGAGCTTGGCCCGGTGTGTGGACATATGTGAGCACCCCTACCCTCGCTAGTTTTGTTCTCACTCTCTTCCCACCCCTCCCTTCCTTTACTCTCTTCTTCTTCCCCTTCCCACTCTTCAGCTCAGAAGGGATCTTCTGTAAAGTTACCTAACCAGGGAGTGACCACTGCCATAGTTCTCTGGATAGAAGCAGACTACCATTGGACCTATGAAGGCATTAACACAGGAAGCAGCATTGGAATGCTGCCCCCCCTCCTGTGTGTGTGTGTGTGTGTGTGTGTGTGTGTGTGTGTGTGTGGTCTCGTACTCACCTTATAGTGATGCTCCCGAGGAACCTCAGGGGCAGCTCGACTTAATGGTCGCAGTGTGCTTCCTTTGAAATGGACCAGTTCTTTCTCTTTCATCCCAGGATACTATCAAATCCTGGAGTCCTTGGGGCTCAGCATTCTGTGACATCCCCCTAGACCAACAATGTGTTTGTACCCCTGCCCTTACCCTTAGTCTCGTCTCCCCATTTCTAAGAATGCATTCGAGTGAGGTATTCTTGAACCATTATATAATAGTCACTGTCGATTATTAAATGATAATTTCCAGCTTCCTTCCTTTTAGTCATTTAATTTCATTTGTGTGCAGAATTCAGCAACACATCACTGTCAGTCTTGTTAATATGCATGCAGAGTAAAGAAAATACAATTTTAGAACTGACCCAGGCGCTCCTATGTTGATGGCAGTTTTGTTGTTGCTTTGTTTAGTATTCTTGTGTATGTGTGAGTGCCCTCATGTATGTACGTGTGCCCGCATGTGTGTATGTGTGCCACCACATGCATGCCTACTACCATGGAGATCAGAAGACATTAGATCTCCTGGAAGTGGGGTTACAGACAGGTGTGAGCCTCCCTGTGGGGGCAAGGATCTGAACCCAGATCTTCTAAAAGAACAGCAAGCTCTTCTAACTGCTGACCCATGTCTTTAGTCCCTTGACAGCGGTGTTTAGAAGAGAGAGAAACTGCCATCTTAGATATGCTCAGAACCATGCCATGTTTAAAAAGTACTGATGTTTTAGGTTTAGAGGCTAAGTACCCCCTTTTCTGTTTTCCCCTGAGCTTAGAGCAACATTAGTGACTCCTTCCTGAGAGTAACGTTCTTATCACAGTTGGGGGGAGCAGAGAAGTTGGCTCTAGGTGCAAAGTGGCCTCCAGGCACTGGGATAAAAAATTCCGGAGGAATGGCAGGCCTGAGTGGACCCTAAAGGATGGGCGATCCCAACCTGCTTTGGTTTCTTTTCCAGGCTTCTCTGTGCTGTGGAAGGAACTGGATGATGTAACCAGCTCTGCAGGAAGACGCACATGGTTTTACACTGAGCAAGAGCTCTCAGACCCTGTGTTAGTTCAGAGTCACTTGAGGAAAAATAATGTGACGGTTGTCATCAGAAAGGCTTTTCTGAAGTGGGGAATACCCGTGAAGAAGATCGCCTCTCCCCGTCTGCGAAGTGGACTTTCTTAGACTCCAAAATGCCAGCCAAGACCCCAATTTACCTGAAAGCAGCGAACAACAAAAAGGGAAAGAAATTTAAACTGAGGGACATCCTGTCCCCTGATATGATCAGTCCTCCCTTGGGGGACTTCCGTCACACCATCCACATCGGCAAAGAGGGCCAGCATGATGTCTTTGGAGATATTTCCTTCCTTCAAGGGAACTATGAGCTCTTGCCTGGAAACCAAGAAAAAGCACACTCCGGCCAGTTCCCTGGTCATGACTTCTTCCGGGCCAACAGTACCTCAGACTCAATGTTCACAGAAACGCCCTCCCCAGTGCTCAAAAATGCCATCTCTCTGCCGACCATCGGAGGATCCCAGGCTCTCATGCTGCCCTTATTGTCACCAGTGACATTTAACTCCAAGCAGGAGTCCTTTGGGCGTCCTAAGTTGCCAAGGCTCAGCTGTGAGCCTGTCATGGAAGAGAAAGTTCAGGAGAAAAGTAGTCTGTTGGACAACGGGACAGTCCACCAGGCAGACACCTCGTGGGGCTCCAGTGGATCTGCGTCTCAGTCCAGCCAGGGCAGGGACAGCCACTCCTCCAGCCTGTCTGAACAGTACTCCGACTGGCCCGCGGAGGACATGTTTGAGCATCCTGCCTCCTGCGAGCTCATGAAGTCCAAGACTAAATCAGAGGACTCCCTCTCTGACCTGACAGGCTCCCTACTCTCGCTGCAGCTGGATCTGGGGCCCTCACTTTTGGATGAGGTCCTGAATGTCATGGATAAAAATAAGTAACCTGGAGTCAGCTCTTTTCCTTTGGAGTAAGAGGTACCAAAATAAACAGAAAACAAAAAACTCAGCTAACCACAACTGATGGAAAGAGTTGCCTGGCTGGGTTTTTGCAGCCGCGTGATGCATTTTCTAAAATAACGTTCCTGTTCCTACGAAATATTTTTTTAACCGCCTTGCCCTGTTTGCAAAAACAATTTTCAAAACAATAATTTTAAAAATTAAAAAAAAAAAAAAACCTGTCCTGGCAAAAAGAGAGAGGAAGTGAGTCAGAGCTCACTTTGAGCGGGCATTGCTGATGCTCGGCTCAATTTTGTTTGCAGGCACGCGGAAACCCGAGCTGTTTGAAAGGGCTGGGCCATGGGTCTCTCCAAGGCGCTCTACAGCATGTTGTGAGAAGGAAATCAAAACTCGCTTCACACCTAAGCCTTCTTTTTTCCTAGACTCTTTTGTATATTGTATTCTTTGGACTCACCATAGCAAATTCCCCAGTGTTAAGATTTTACTGTTTTCATATTCAAACAACCTTAAGGGACCGGGGTTTTTTCCTTGTGGTTCTTATATACCCCTGTATATTATTTCCATGTTCCAGAAGTTTGACTGTCAGCTACATGTTGGTAAAAACAAACAAGGTGTTACTGTAACTAAGTTATTTTTAAAGTTGAAATATATTTTTATGTGCCTTTGGCTTTTTATTGCAGAGTCTACATTTTATAGATAATACATCAAGTGTTACTTGTCTTGTTTCCGTTGGGGCTTCCTTGCAAGCCCTGTTTGTGTATTTGGAAAAACAAAAACCTATTCATTACTATTCATTATCAGTTCCCCCTTGTTCATGTGCTATCATACTTCGAGTAGTGCCAAGAATGGATTGTAAAGTGCGGGGGCACAGGGGGTCCACAATGCTTCTGCAGAGACTGGAGTTGGATATTAGGACAGCTCATACTCCCAATCCTCGGTACGTCATACCACACAATAAAGAGTAAATGCTAAAACAAACTTGCTCGTTTATAGTTGTAAACAAGAACCAGAAAAGAAGATTCTGAAGACTAGCTAGTAATGTACCCAAGCCTTTAAAATATGCTGAGATATGACTCCTAAGTGTTCTGCAGTTTTGAATTATTTTTATTAAGATTTGATTCTAGAAATAGGAACACAAGAAATGAATATATGAGGTCATTTCTGTTGTTTTATACAAACCTTAGTGCTGAGACAGACAGACAGACAGACAGACAGAGAGAGAGAGAGAGAGAGAGAGAGAGAGAGAGAGAGAAGGAGTGGGGCAGGGCTGAGACTATAGGCCTTTGCCACAGACCCTGCTTATTAACCCCATCCTGTGTGTGTCTCCCTCCCACACCCACACACCCTGTTCCTACAGACTCAGATGTCCTGAAGACAGCGGCTTGTCATGCTCTGTAAGTCCTGTGGACCGAGACCCAGCAAAGGGATCCCCAGATGCCCTGAGGCCATTGATTAAGGAACCAGAACAGAAAATTACACCCAGATTCCTATCTTTCTTCAGCTCTCCTCCCTACTCTGCTTGTCTGCCAAGGGTGGGTGCCAGCTCCAGCCCCTTGGTGTGTCTTGGAGACTCCTTCTCAGCAGCACCAGTGACTCCTTGGGGTTCAGAGTTCCTGCACCTGTATCATGTGGTGTGTAAAATAGCCTTTGAACTTAGCAGACTCACTCTGGTGGCTAACCAATCAGAGGAGGAAGCAGTTTTCCCCTAGAGCCCTGAGTCTGCCCAACAACCCCCAAGTCCCTTCCCTTGGTCCCACGTTGTTCCTTTCTGTGGAATCCCACTCATTCATGGCTCAGAAAGCTCTTAGCCTCTCTAAATCTCATCAGGGAGACAAAGTCCCATGAGCTCATTTGTTTGTGTGTTTTGTAGCCGGTGTCGGCCAAACTCTGTCAACACATTCCCCATCGTAATTACTGATCAGATGCAGCCTCACTGTATTCGTTGTCTGCTGCACGATCTGAGGGACGGGGGAGGACTGTGCCCTCATCTTGGTTGCCGCCTCTCCGGAGGGCAATGGTGGAGAATAGTCCTGGCAGGGTCTCATCTTCTAAGGGGCCGTGTGTCCTTCATGTATTTACCCGTTTGGCTCTTTCCAAACCCAAATACACATTCTCCAAAATACACACGTTCTCTAGACCAAACAACTCAAATGCACGCACATGTTCCCGTGGGTGTGGTTGACGTAGCAACAAAGACCCTTCTCTTTCCAAGGAAACAAAGCCTCCTCTCACAGCTTTCTGATGGCCTGGTCCATTCCCCAGGGAGCAGGCACCTTGGTTAGGTTCTGTCCTATGGGCCCTTCAGACTCACGCCTGCTGAGAGCCGATTCCATGGTCTCAAGCTGTGTCTCCCACTGAAAACCTAATTTATCTTCACTTATTTAAAGAAAACCCAAATGCCCGTTATTTGTAAGCTAAAAAAGCATGACGAAGCCACCTGTGTGTGACCCAACCACCAGAAATATGTCATATCATTTGCATAAGTGGGCACCCCTTTAAAGTAGGCAAGACATTTTGTAAAAAAAAATGTTTTTGTGGGCAGTAAGGCCTAGCAAAGAATTATATTATTTCAGCCAAAAATTATATGCTAAAATAAAAGTATCAGCATACTTAGCTCTTCATTAATACAAAGTCATTAATTTCAGTGGGTCAGCATCACTGTCAGCAAGCCCATGGGGGACCGACCATTGGTGAGCAGGAAAGAGAACCCAGGTCTCCAGGATACAGCCTCATCCTCTCACATGTCACCCTGAGCTAGCACTTTTCCCTGAAGGCCATTGCAAATGTGTCCATCGTAGAATCATGGAATGGCAGGGATCTATGAGCCCATGAATAAGCTTGATAACTATTTTTTTAAAAAAAAATAAACATACATTAGGGTGTGATTCTAATCCTCCCTTTAATAGAGAGGCTGGGGAGACTTTGAGCTGTAACAACAATAGAGCAGGTCCACATGATGCCCTTTCTGTAGACGGCTTCACCTTTGGGAATTATCCTAGCAGCCTAGCTGCAGATAAAACCCTCCGATTTAGGACTGGTCTCTCAGATTAAGAATAGTTCATTTTTTCCCCCTTAAGCCAGTAAAGTATACAAAATACTGTGTCCTATGCCCTTTTTATAAATATAAGACAACTGTCCTATGCCCCAACTGTGCTGTTAGGTTAGATCCAGCAAAACAAAAGAACATTCTAAATGTCATATCACATGGGGAGCCACCTGTGTGAGACGCCTGAAAGCCGTAGCTCACAGTGCTGGCTGAACAATGCGCTCACTTCGTAAGGGAGGAAAAGGGTTGCTTGTAAACATGCTAGCCCAGTTGTGGAATCTGGTTACTCTGAAGATCACACACTTTGTTTTGAAAATGCACAGTTTCATCCAGAGAGCTTTTCATCTGAGAATGTTCGATTTTCACTTCACTCTGAGCGAGTCTAAATGTGTCCTGCTTGCGTTGCTGAGTCGCTCTGTAGTATGTTGCTCAAAGAGCTCTTACTGCATGAAGAGATGTGTGGTAGCGAGGTTTGCTCTGCACCCACTCTGCCGCGCTATCACCCATATTTACCTTTAAAATTCTGATCGTGGTGACCCTTTTGGTAGCTTCTGACGGGAAGTCAATCATCTTCATCCCTTGAAGGTCAGCCAGATCTCCCCCATGGGAAGTAGACCGCCACAGCTGATAGAAAACACCTCCCTGGGTGGACGCCATTGTGCAGTGTAGCCTTAGTACTTCTGACACCATCCATCAAAATGAAAAGCAGAGTGAGCACTTTGGGTCTGGTGCTCACCATAATAAAATCACCATTGGGGCAGGTAAGAGAGCATGTCATCTGTTGTCAAAGGACTCTTGGGGGAAAAGAGCTCTGAGGTTTCTTGAAGGCGTTACCAGGGCAGTTTAATGGAAGAAGAGTATCCAAAGAGATTCCTTGGGAGATGGGTAAGATTTTTCTTAATGAATAAGGACAGACCAGGGAAGAAAAAAATTAAGGGCAAAAAAAGAGTGCATCCCCACTCTGAGTAGGATTTCTCTTCAGGACATTCCGGGCACAGGGAGTGAGCTTTAAACACACACTTTCAGTCCTTAAGGCTTAGACTCACATGAAGACCCCGTGGAAGAAGAGAACACTTCGGAATTAAGTTGCTGAAAAGCTGGTTCCCAGAATTGTTATCAAAAGCTGGTCATCATCTTGGTTTTTAAAACTCACACCCAGCCTATAGGGCTTGAACTGAAGGCCTTGATTAACCCCGCCCCCCCAAAACCCTCTTTTAATTACATTTTCATGGAAAAGTCTTTTTACCAGATAACACCAAAAAATGTTCATTAAAACTCCAAAGGATGTTGTCTTCATACCCATGGTTAGCCTCGTTTATGAGCAAAACAGGTAAATGCAGAGTTGACTCTGACCAGATAGTTCCACCACCAAATAATTCCTCCACTCTACAGCTGCTCCATTGTTGGAGATGGGTTCATTTGAGTGAGCATCATTTAAACATGGAGTCCCCTGCAATGATCTAAGGAGTAACATCTGAGAGTTATCAACAGTGGGATGTGAGCTTGCCCGTCAGATGCCAAGTGTAGGAACGTGTAGGTACCTAGCAACTGGAGCGAGTCTGGTGGGAGGAAGAGACTTGGACTAGAAGAAGTAATGAGTCATTTATTGCATCTTTTTGCCTGGGACCAAAAAAGACCAGGAAGCAAAAAGTGAAGAGATGAGAGAGCTGCCTGTCACTAAATGTGGCTCTCACCAAAAGAGATTATAGAAGTTCTTGTTAGCTGGTCTCCCTCCCTGGTGCTGGAGAAGTATGTGCAGCTCTTGTGATTAAATCTAACTTCAAATCAATCAAATTAGGCACTACAGAGGATTAACATAAGCTTCCCATGAGTGACAGTATTCTCCTCCCACCACAGTCTCAAGCCTTCAAGGCATTATGTCTTTGATGACAAATGGCGATCTTTCCAAGTCACTATCTGAGGACTTTGCCCTGCCCACCTGAGCAACAACAGCTGAGTGAGGGGATTCTTTTGTTTTGGTTTTGGTTTTGTTTGTTTTGTCTTATAAGACTAGCCATTAGGAATGCCCCATAGACACATGGAATTTGGAAAAGTCTAAAACCACACTAAAAAGTAAATATTGGTGTTTTCACAGCAGTAATGTCCAGTCATACTTTTTTCTTAAAGAAAGAAGGGGTATTGTTAAAAGTAGAAGAAAACCATGCTTGTCTGCGCACTTTTACCCCTCGCTGCATGGAAATGGAATTGGGATGGGATCAGAAACAAGAAGCAAGCATTTATGGTGCTCTGGCAGCAGCTTTTTCACCATAAATGGCAAGAAGAAAGAATAGATGAACACAGTGTTAGATAGTAGATTAGCATCCAATAAAATTCTCTCCTCACAGTTTGACCATAGCCCCCGTGACCAAATAAAGCAGCGTAGTGAAGCAGTGTTCTACAGTAACCCCGCCGCATTTCCAGAGACCGGGGTGCTGAGTTTACTGTTATAAAAAACACAACTGGCTCTTAGGACTTCATAAAGACACTGGATGTCCATCAGCTGCCTCGGGTGAATGAGAGGAAACCTCTCAAGTGAATTGATAGGAGAGCACAGACGAGACTCCCAGAAGTGAAAAGCTGAGAGAAGAAAGATCTTCCCACAGGAGTCTCCATCCCTAGAAAATTTCT